CAATATTTAGTTCATTTATATGTCTACATGTCGCAAAAAATAATAATTAACACCTTATATTATTATAATTTAAAGTCTATAAACTTCTGAAGAAAGTTGTAAAATGATTATTAATTTAAAAAATAATAAATAGTCATTTTACAACTAATTATAAAGCTTAATACGACAAAAAATAGCATAAAATGCATAATTAAGAAATAGAAACTTGAATTTTCTTACCAAATTCTACAACATTTTGATTAAATTATGCAAGTTTGCATCAATCTGTGAAGAATAGAATACTTTTTTAGCTAAAATATGATTTTATGAAAGCATAATCATTTCAGAAAATTAAGAAAAAAACAATTTTTCATCAAAAAGTGTACAAACCAGCTGGATATGGTGGATGTCCATCAAAAGATGGTGGTAGTTCTAGAGACCAGTCTTCTTCTTGAGGGCTAGTAGGTGGTAAACATGGACTGGTCAGTGAGTAATATGGAGGAGGCCTATTTAATGTTTCTCTCGCAACTTGTTCTGCAGAATATAATATTGCAATGAAAAAATTTGTACTGATTGAAAAATAATTTAAGTTTTGATTAATAATAAATTTTGAATAATAAATTTTACGTTGGTAATCACTGATAAAGTTTTCGAATCTACAAAAGCATTACTGTATTTGTTCACGCATATTTCTGTCGCTAAACTTATGCATTTCAAGCAATCATAATAACAGACTCTTCGGATTCTAATACTTATTAATAAATAAAACAAACTTCCGAATTTCTCATTTCTCAGTGCATGCCATTCTTGCTGCTATTAAAGATTAACCTCATACGTTTAAAATAAACTAAAATATTAGAAGCGTGAATCTTATCAAAAATGTTGATCAACTTACCGTTCATAGAACTTTTTTCACTCTTCTCCAAATCCCTGTCTATTTTATTCAACTGATCTTCCATTTCTAACAACAATGCTAATGTTTCATTCATTGTAGTTGGCTCACTTGAATGATTCTTATCAACTTCAACTTCTTCATGAATGTTGATAATATTTTCTATATTCTGATTGCCGTTATCATTCACGCTATCATTGACAAACGTCATAATTCACCTCAACTTAGAAGAAGCAATAATAACGATAATACTAACTGTAGAATGATAAATAATTTAATAATAATAACAATTGCAATGTTAGAATATTACTGGAAAATTAGCGGGAAAGTTTCAGTACTTGAACAGTATAAACAGTACACTCAGTATACATTACTTTCTGATTTGAATCAAGTACTTTTTTGTAAACTTGTCCAATTCTTAACTAAAACAAAGTTCAACCTGAAAAATGTTTCATTTAATCTTAGATCATATTTTTATTCATAAATATACTTGTCAACAAACAATAAATATAATAACAATATGCAAATTATTTTTAACAAATATAATTTGTGAGTAGATTTAACTCAAATAAGTAATCAATCTATTAGTTTTACTTTAAATTATTTGGCGAAAAATAAAAATAAAAACAAGGCTTATTTCTTTGAATTCAAAATAATGCCAATATTATTAAAATAGAAGCATCTGTTACGTGTTTTATATTAACTTACTAATAAAAATTGGCATCACTTACTAGTATATTAATATGTAAATACATCATTATAATGCGACTATAATAATTGCTTGGGAAAAACAATAAAAATCACAACAATTATTGGGTTGAATGTTACTAAAATGTCCTCAATGACCTTTTCATATGCTAAAATATAATATCCTCAATGACCTTTTCATAATTATTACTGTTAAATACTTTTATGCTTCAAAACTTATAAACGAACATTCGGTACTTCAATTTTATTTTATAAAATTGTTCTTACATTTATAATTTGAATAAATTTTGAGAGTTTGAAAAAAAGCAATTTTTACTGCTTTTCCCAAGTCATTATTATAGCGAATAACAATGATTATAATGACAATAATTGATAATAATGATTCATACGGAAAGCACACAATTATTACTATTAGTCTAAAAAGCACTTTGCCATACAATTAAATCATACATTTCACTCTTCATGACCTTATCATATCTGATAAAAAGCAAACCAAAATAACTCCTTTAGATATTTTATTTCTATTTGTAAAGCAGATAAATAGTTGAGAATTGTGTCTAAAAAAGACAATATAGACATAATCAGATTATAAAATAAATAACATTGCTGATAAATGATAAGAACACTGAAAAAGTGTGAATCAGTGACTGCACAAAAATATTATTGTGATAAAAATAGCCTTTATGTTCATAACAACTAATTTGTCGATATTGGAACTTTCGAAAAAGATATATAAATAAATAAATAAACAAATAAATAAATAAATAAATAAATAAATAAATA